TTTTTTTATTTCATTTCACACGCACTTTTTCCTCCTCGCCCCCTCTCCAGCTGGGTGCTCGGAGGCGCCAGTTTCCCAGTGGGATTCGCCAAAAGCCCCTGCTAGGATCCACGTTCCCTCCCGGCGCCCATGAAAACACGGGCGGTAACAGCAGGAGCCCCTCGCCCCTTGGGGCYGGCGGCTGGGGGTGGTTCCCTGACCAGCGCTTCTCCTCTTATCCAGCCTTCTCCCACCGCAACCGGTTTCACCCTTGTGAAACCTCCCGTGAGGGCTGCCAGTGAGTGCTCCGCGCAGGTGGCACCGAGTGGGGGTGATTCCTGCGCGGAGGTCGCTGTTCGTTGCCGGGGGTCCCCATCCCGCGTGAGCTCTGGCAGGGATCGGGCAGGAGGCCGAGGACGCACAAGCACCGAGGGATTTCCAGTGGCGTGGGATGAGCTGTGCTCCCTGAGCCTCCTCCAGGCTCAAGGAGCCTCCTCCAGAACCAAGGAGGCTCCTCTAAGGTCCAAGGAGCCTCCTCCAGGCCCAAGGAGCCTCCTCCAGGCCCAAGGAGCCTCCTCCAGGTCCAAGGAGCCTCCTCTAGACCCAAGGAGCCTCCTCCAGGCCCAAGGAGCCTCCTCTAAGGTCCAAGGAGCCTCCTCTAAGGTCCAAGGAGCCTCCTCTAAGGTCCAAGGAGCCTCCTCCAGACCCAAGGAGCCTCCTCCAGACCCAAGGAGCCTCTTCCAGGCCCAAGGAGGCTCCTTCAAGCCCAAGGAGCCTCCTCCAGACTCAGGGAGGCTCCTTCAAGCCCAAGGAGCCTCCTTGAGGCCCAAGTCCTGCTGGTGGCCACAGTGGGGGGAGGCCTCAGCGCACTGGTGTGGTGGGCTGTGCAGGGACCAAGTGGGGCATGTCCAGCACGGGCAGGAGAGGTCCCGCCAGCGGCCGGGACGGAACCCTGCATCTGCCCCATAAGCTTTATCTATTAAAATAAATAAATGCCTCTTTATTAAAATTATTATTCTATGGACAAAGTTTTCTGGACAATCATGGCTGGTAACAATGATTGCTGACAAAATTTCTGTAAGATCCAATTTATTCTTTCATCTAATTGATGTTAGATATTTTTTCCTTGGTTGTGACTAATATGTCTCTGTTGGCATGGATGGATAATTTTACCAAACAAGTCTTGAGAAGAGCAGCAGCAGAGCTTGGCTGACAGGTAGAAGATGACTTTCCTAATCAGAGTAATTTCTTCTGTGCTTAAAGCATCAAGATAAGCTTAAAAGAAATTAAAAGATAACAATTTCCAAGGAAAATCTGCTAAATGATAGGCAGAAAAAGATTATTTTGTAATGCCATTAATTATTCAAATTTGTCCTCTAAGTGGGTAGCCATGTTCCTACAAGCCGGTATCTCCAGGCAAGTTCAGGCCGGGAAGCTGGACAAGGACACGTAGGATTCCCAGCTGTGGGTCCGGCCACTTGTCCAGCGCCGCAGGGAGCTTCCGCAGGCAGCAGCGACCCGGAGTGCTGCAGGATATGTGCGGATGGTAACGGGAAGCTGTGGGACCGCCCRCCCCGGGAAGGTCTCCTCCCAGCTCCCATTAGGGATTTGGGACGTGGGACACAGTTTAGATTCCTTTTTAGATTCCAATTCCAATTTAGATTCAAAATTTCAATTTAGATTCCTTCCAAACCCTTTTTCAAGAGACAACTTGGTGATCTCTAGAGGTCTCTTCCAACCCCAACCTTTCTGTGATTCTGGGATCCAGAATCTCTTTCTGGATCTCATTTTCTTTTTCCATGATAAACATAAAGAGCAATAGAAACATTACAAACTCCAGATTATCAGTATGTTCAGTAACACATGTGAAAAAGGATTTATTCATAAATTTCTGCAAAGTTGGTTTTACGGTAGTGATTCATGGATAAACAAAAGGGCGCTCGCTGGGGTTTTGCTGCAGGTTAGCCAGGAGGTTGTTGTGTGGGGAAAAAGTGAAATACAGGTATGCGGATCTATGGRAAAGGAAGTGGTCTGAGGACGTTGTGCCTGGTGATCCCTCGAGACAGCTCCGGGGAAGGTATAAACAGCAGTGAAAGAACTTTGCTTAGCCACAAAGGGAATATTAGTAGCCAAGCACCTACCTGGCGRGGAAACCAGAGAGGCACCAACCAATTTATCTGACAGAGATCTCAATGTCACCCTTGTGATATGGGGACAACTAGTTCGTTTGCTAGTTGTAAATGAAAGGAAAAAAAGCATAAAAATATTAGATTTGTATTGGACACAGCGAAATTACCTTAATATTGAGCTATTTTTTCCTCTCCATTTGATTTCATAAATGTTTTAAAGAGGAAAGAAGTTGAAATAATCATTTCACACAGTGTATGAGATTTCCTTACATAATCTGTTAGATCTGCATGCTCCTGTATTAAAGGTTTCTAGCTGATATGCCTTATATAGACTGCCAGCTCTGCCAAAAAGCTTGTCTGATCTTTGAATCAACAAATCCAAACAAATGCAGGCTTAAGTATATACATAGTCAATAAAACTGTTCTATATATTCAATAATACAACTGTTCTTTCGTTATCACTTCAATTCAATAAATGTTGGTTAAGTCAGTTCTCTACTATAAAAGCTTAAAAGAAACTATTTGCAAACAATCATAATTTTATTAAAATGATAATAGTAATAGCAACAATATGTCTTTCATCACTAAGTAATTTTTTTTTTTTGTTAAGTAACACATTGTTAGCTCTAATTCAGGTGAGGTAASTGAGGAACACGGGGATTATGTCGCCTTTACACAGGGAGTCATCAGTAGATTCTGAATAAGATCAGGCTCTTTCATCTTCTAAATTTATAATCAGTCTGCTTGATGCCATCTACCCCTTTTTACTCTATCAGTTTGTTTCAGACCAAATATATTGGAAAGATGTCTCAGAAAGTACCCAGGGATGTTCATGCCCAATGAGAACTTTGGCCAAAATTAACATTTGATGTAATTTCCCATTAGGTTCCACCTCACTTGCATCTGCATGCACCAGTGCTAAATGTGATTTCCTCCCCCCATGCCAGCCTCAGGTTTCAAACACCAGCTGATTTTGCTGTGTCTCTATCTGAAATTGGAATTTTATAATTCAGATAATACCTTGGCTTAAATGCTCAGGGGCCAAGATCCAGCAGAAACTGCTCCTGGTGAGTTGAATGCAACTTTTTGTTTCCACAAAACGTTATAAACACATTGAAATTTATTCTCCATCTTTCTACCCCCAGATTTGGTCCTGGAAAGGAGACCACGGAACAGTGGTGGGCAGTTTTCTACATCTTTTTTTCTTTTTTTTTTTTTTTCCCAGGTAGATAAAACCATATTTTGATTCCAGATCACTATGTCTGCACTTTGCATGCCCTCAGAACTGAACCCATTTACAGGGCGTCTGTCCAGCGAGCAGGACTCCATGCAGGGCTGCACTCGGCTTGAGCTGCTGCTCACCCGGTGCCTCCACGGCTCATTCCCAGGCATTTATTCCTAACTAATTCCTCTGCRGGAAGTTTCAGCCTAAACAAGAGGCGTGTGTAACAGGCAGATGTGCTGTATGCTCCATAGGCACAAGCTCACGGCTTTATCTCTGCTTTGGCTCCGTTTTAGAAAGGCATTTCACGGGCACGGGCTGATAAACCCCTGCCTGCCTACTACCTTGTGCTGTGCCTCGCTGATACTCTCTTATATAGTTTCTCATAGTTTTCCACAGCGAAGATTTTTATCTGCAGTGATATCTGCCAGAGCATCTATCATTTACGAGGTGTGGCAAGCGCGCTTTTGCAATGAGGGATCCGTATGTGTACACGCCGCGGAGCGGCCATGCCAAACCATCAGCTGATGTTTTGAGGGCACTGTGTTGAAACCACAGCAACATGTATAGTCAGATCTGCAGCTCCCTGCTAACTACCAAATCCAGCCTTTTCCATAGGCGTGTGTCACAGCTACTGCACCCACTGCTGGGTGTGCCCGCCACCCAAAGGCGTGTAGCTGTTTGCARGGATCATTTTGCATCTTTGCTTCTGTGCTAGCAATGGCCTGAAATGTAGGGCACAGCCCCCCTTATGGCAATAGGGTTCGGTGGAGGGGAGTTGGTTGCACAAGGCGCGYGCTGTTACGGCGTCGCCGGCTGCCRCTGCGGCTGTGAGCAGGGCTGGTGACGACAAGGCTGGCAGACCCTGTGCCTGTGTGGTGYGGGGAGGACGGAGCTGTGGCGAAGGAGCCGCATCCAGCGTGTGCCGGGCGCTGGGGACGGGCCCCGTGCGAGCTGGCGCGCMATGAACCAGCCTCGTGCTCTGCCACGGGCATCTTCTGCAGAGCTGCCACGGGCAACGTGGACGCCGCTCCCCCTGAGAGGCTTTTTCCCTGGGAGATGGGGTGGACGGATGGGCCACAGGGTTATACGGTTTACAAACAACTGTTTAGCCATGTAACACCCCCGTGAGATAAATGGGGATT